TTTGCTCGACTGCCAGTGCAAACGCCACCTCCCTAGGCTAAACTATCACCGACGCCATGCTTTGTTGTACTCACTCAGCTGAAGACGAAGCCTCCGCACACCAGTCAATCGCTGGCGATAGCAGCCACCACATGCCTAATGGTCTTCTCGCGCTGGCTGAGCGCCACTGTGGGTGGTGCAATTATAAATGATATTTTAGCATTGCTGGCTTTAACTCGAAAGGTACATTAAACGATGCAGGCCAGTATCCTGACAGACAAGGGAGAAAACAACCGGACACCTATCCCATCCCACCCGCTACTCCTCGTCGTATTCCTTCCAACAAACTATGATTATCGCGCTCCAATCTCCTTCTTGACCAACACGCACATCGCCTCCATACAGTCGATGCTCGCAATCTCATGCGAGAAGGGGTATTTGGTGGCACCGACCGGTTCAACATGAGCCTCGTACGCCGGCAGGCTCATCATATCGTCCAAGATCTCGTACAGGAAACGCATGAAGGTGCGCTTCGTGGCGTCGGTCCTGGATGGGTCGCCCTGCCACGAGGTCAAGTAGCTGGTGTGCAGGTCCTCGATGATGTAGATACCGCCGGGGCGGACGTACTGCCACAGCTCGTGGAGACTGACTTCCTGCTGCCGCATGCTGTGGCCACCGTCGTCGATGAGGATGTCTAGGAGACCATCGGCCGTGGCAGCGGCACCCGCTGCGTGGAGGAAAGACGGATTGGCCTGGTCGCCGAAGTGGACCGCCGCCTGAGGATGCTCGGCAGCCCATGCCTTGCCACAAGCCTGGTTGTACTCAATGATGTTGATCTCCAGTTGGGGGAAGTACTGGATCCAAGTCGAGAACGAGGCGCCGGGACCGTACGACTACGATGGTGTAAGCTTGCGGACGGGGAGGAGATGTAGGAGCCCAGACTTACCATGCCGCAGCCGAGACCGATCTCGAGCATCTTGACGTGGCTGTCGCGGAAGGCCGGGAGGTACTTGTCATACAGGACGGCGTAGTTGTGGTCCGTCACCTTGTCCGTGCCGGAGTCCTTGGCCAGGTCGGCGAATGTCGGCCGCTTGTCGTGCTTGCCGTCGTAGGTAGACACATGTCCTGGCCTGTAAGTGTGGCCATTGCTGCCGGCACTGCGATTGAAATGTCAGCATCATAGGCCGTTCAGTTGCATATAATGAGAGGCTTTGGGGCGAGGACGCACTTATTCCATCCTGTCGTTTGCTTGATAGACTCCGGCACACCCTCACGCGAGACGTGAACCGTGGCAAGGAGGAGGAGGAGTGTGGCACCAGCGAAGAAGATCGACAGGTACCTCCTGTTGGCGGACACGTTGGAAATCGGAGTCTGCATCGTGATGGTAATGTTAAAGCCGATGCTCTCTGCTGGACTACCGAATTGTGTGAAGAATAAAGGCTTGAATAGTGGAGAGAGAAGATGGGCAACGAACGGCGAGCGTCCTGCTCGTTTAATACTTCACGTACAACTACTGATCATTCTGTCCTGATCGTCAGTTTTCCATCCGCTTATGTTTCCAGTCTCGTCTGCGCTCGGCATTCGTTCCAAAATACCTGGAGCAAAGCTGGCTTCGTCCTACCCAACTGTAACTGGCGGCAACTAAGCGACCCCATCTTGGGTCACTAATGAGATTGGTCGGTACTATCGATTGTCCGAAAACGGCGTTCAACGATGTCGCGGGGCTCTGCTTGGTTGTATGGACGGTGATGTAAAGGCTTGGAGGCATCCCTCTTATTCGCTTGTGAGACCAAGTGCTTAACGTTTTCGGCCTCTTCTACATGTGGAGCCCTCTCGAGATTCCCTCGTTACTTTGCTCAGAGGTAGCGCAATACTGTAGGCACTGGGGGTATCTCCCTACTGGCTGCCCCGCGCTGACGGTTTGGGGAAAAAGCCCATGTCTCGGGGAATATGTAGATATGACCATCCGCAATAACTCTCTGTCCACGGCAACGTTCATCCCCGACGTGTTCGCGATCCAGAGCATTTCGTGAAACAGTGTTTCGATCCCATCCGCGATGGCATTGGCACCAGGAATGTGTACATCAGCGCCGCTTTCCACGCCCAGTGACATTGTCTAGAAAAGAGGCAAATCTTACCTTCGTTATCTTCTGAGAACAGCGCCAAGTGTACTCTTGGGGTCAGAGGAAGGATAAGGTATCCAGTAGAGGGATGTCTTAACCTCTACCTGTATCCCCATCGTCTTCTCTGGTGAAGAAAACAAGACGCGAGAGATTATGTAACAACTCAACCTTTTATCGTTGCTTTTTCTACGTGAAATCCCTCTTCCTTTGAGTCTTATTCCGACCACGTTTTGACCGCATAGAACGTAGGAACGTAGGGAAAATCACTTCTGTGTGTTGCTCGTTTGTTCTACTTACTTGGCTTGAAGTGGATGCGTACCTGTTCATCTTCCGGGACGATGGCAGATCTGGACTTTTTGAAAGAGAGTTAGCCTGTCTCGCGACATCGATGCGCCATCATATGCGGCGGGCCGAAAAGGTCGCTAGTCTCGGGACTCGATGGGGAGAAAGCTCGGATGCCGCTTCAGATTTCCTGCATCTTCGATTCGGGTGCCGGTTCCGTTTCAAACAAAACGCAGCGACGGGCCGTCCTGTGAATCCTGTATCTGAGTCCGAGCGAGATGGCCGGTTTCCCGCTAAGCCTGTGGAAGCAAAGAATGTTTCTGACGGGGGCTTGACGTCAGAAGAGGTTGCCGGGCCGCATCCGTGAGAACTAGCACCATCAAGCGAACTTAGCCGCCCGCGGATGTGTCTGGCTGTTTTCGGCGACGCTCATGTTTAGCAGCAACGGTTGGTCTTGGGTTGATGAGTCACTGTTCCTCATCGAAAGAAATAAAAACTATGATACCGGTAATTGTCCCGAGAAAAACAACATGGTTTCATTATAAAACTGTGGATGCCCTTCCCAGGCTTCAATGTGGTCTGCGCTTCGGTACGCGAATGACGTGTGTTGGAGAGTTGGTAAAGCTTGTCGTGGGAAAAGCTCGCAGAGATGGAGTTCTTGATTGATTGAACTCGAGCTTAAGCCTTCCCGGTAGGGCTGTTCTTGAAAGAGGTCTTTCTCTGGGATCATCCATGATAGGATTCGCAGGATGCAAGCCAAGCCAGGGGAATTAGCCACGCCAGGAAAAGAAGCTCTGTCACTGCCACGCGACCAGTGAGAATCCTTCGACGCCTCGTCTGCGAATTGACCACCGCCCACTTTTCAGACTCTCCTCGCGGCGCGCATATTCCATGCCATAGCTTCTTCCCGGACCTGAGACGTTTCTTCGCGGCCTTTGCTTCGATATTCTGACTTCTTGGGAAAGTTGCCGGCACTGATACTTTGCTCACGGACGGGAGAAGACCGGTAGGATTTCCATCGACGGACGTTGTCCGCGCCCAGGACAGGGTGAGCCACAAGCCTTTTCGGCACAGTCTGCCGTGGCCCGTCCGTGTACATGGTTCGCATGTCGAAGATCTCAAACCTCGCCCTTCTGAGTGGGAAACGTCCAAACTCTCCGTCGCCTTCGCGCCTCTAGGAAGGGTTCCGGGTGTCATGGCAAGCTCCTTGCAGCAACCTTGGCTTTCTGCCCACCGGCCGGTTTAGCCCTTTTCGCTGCACGAGACCGCGTCCCCTTCCGTCCGGTTTCTGGAAGAATCACAGGCTTCCTGGGTCGGGCAATTTCTGGTTATCTTCTTACTGGCATTCCATGTCCGAACGTCGAACGCTGCGATGCGCCGAAGACCAGTCTCGCCTGGACCTGTGCTACGGAATCCCAGGTCAGACTGAGCTTGCGCCCCTCGGCCGAGTAATCATCAAGCCAAAGGCACATGCCAAGTGGGCTGTTTCCATGCAGCATGGGGTTATCTGCACCTATCAACTTCCTTCCTTCGGCGTTGCGCTCCTCAATGCAAGGGCGCGCTGCTCCAAGAGTCGCAGGTATACTCTCGCCTTGCGAACTTTGCTCAAGGCGCAGTTGTCGGAGGAATATACAAGCCATGGAAGTCCCTGCCGCATCGCCACCAATAGTTGCGACGACCAAAGGCTTCCATCATTCATACGGGTCTTTTCTTTCTATATAGAGTACTGTTGAGAAGGATATTTATCTCGTTATCGCTCTTGTCAAGTTGTACGCGTTTCCACAACAGACCTATTGAACCCAGCGTTCACACCAAGTAACTAGTGTTCACCACTCAATCTGGCACATTGCTCTAAATTTTACAAAGTGAGTCCATCTGGCGACTGATTGTGAGAAGACCCTGTTCACACCTCTTTCCAGTTACCCGCATCGTTACTTGCCAGCCATGGACTACCAGAGTTCCCGCAGCTCAAGTCGCCAGACGTCAAGGTCAAGCCCTGGGCAAAGAGACGCCAGCGAAAGATCTCGCGAAGGTTCTCAGTACGTCAAGATGGCAGAAAGTGAACGACGACGAGAGGTCCCTCAAGGTCGCAGCGGTTACAACCGCACTCGGGATCACGGGATGTCGACCAAGGGGAGATCAGGCTACAACTAAGCTGGCCTCGATGCCTGTTGATCAGGCCAAAACGAAATCAAAACATAGACACATTAGAATGGGTTCGGCGTTTATAGAATAATCCTTTGGACACAGTCATAGAAAAGACACTTGGGCAATCCAAAATCATGCATTCAATCTATTCACATACACAAAGCAAACAAGCCTTCCGGTCCAATTTCAAAATACCTCACCGTCCTCTGACAGCTTGCCTCCCACCAATCCAAGTTTTCCGTGTAAATCTGCCGGAGTGCTGTTGTCCTCCGTGGATATCAGATACACTCTCCAAATTTCGACGACCGCGCCAGAACAAACTTCGCCAGAAGAAACCGAATCCAAGATACAAAGAAAAGCTGATGATACAGTAGACAGGAGCACAGTGCTCCGGAAGGCCGTCTCCTTCCCCTCACGCATCGCCGTCGCAAGCCGACTGCGACTCTAGACAAGCCTGCCATCCGTCAATCAAGGGTCCGACCCATCCGACTCGTCCGACTCAAAGGTATCATCCTCTTCGTTAGGGTTCCTGAGCGGGCAAACGCAGTTGCAATCCGGGCAAGGTTCATTCTCATCGTCCACAACGGGGCGTAGCACTCGGCAGCGGCAGGCCCACCAAACCGGGCCGGTCTCTGAATCGAAGCGCCGGTAGCGCCGGTAAAAGTGGAGACGGACGCCGCAACCCACACAGAACTGCCGCAAGGGTTCAATGTTTACTGATTCGGGGTATTTGCGCTTCTTGTTGAACGGTCTGTAATTTCCGTTGGCTTTCAGGATGGCGTAGGCGGGCTGGTCCTTGCCGAATCTGTCTTCTCCGTACTTCTCGTAGCAGTAGTAACAGGTGCGACCACTTCCGCTAGGCTCACTTCGGTCGCGCTCTATGCTGGCCGCCAACAGTGTCCCTTTTGCGTTTGCGGATTTTTGAATCTTGTCTTTGTACCAATCGCTTGAGTCAAAGAGTTTCTTCAGTGTCACCGCGTCCAATTGACCAAACTCTTCCTCTCTCGATTCAGGAGTCATACTCTGCAGCCTTAGTGAGAGGACGTCGATCGAAGCCTCTTGGCTCAGCTTCTCCTCCGGCTGGCGATCCAACGATAATGCGCCGCTGTTGCTTGCGGAGCTTGCTACTGAGCCCCTCTTGGCCCGTCTGTTGGATTGTTGCCCGTATAGCGAATTGGAATCGGTGTTGGCGTGTTGTCCGGACTGGGGATTGCCGTTTGTATTGACCGAACCGAGGGGCATGATAGGAGACGAACCCTCATCACAGCTGATGAGCCTGGACTGAGGAGACGCAGAACATCTATGGCTCTGCATAGGGGGGTACATGGACGGTTGGTGGTAAGGCGGTGGAAAAGCTCGAGATGCAACGAGTGAAGATGGAATCGGTGAGTTGGATGGTGAAGGAACAAAACAGTGCACTTGATGTTGGACAGGCTGAGGCGTGGGCTGCTGGACGTATCGGTGGTGAGGAGGAGATAGCGCGGTAGGCTGTTGAAGAAGAGTATCGACAGAGAGAAGTCGTGTTCTGTATTCTGAGCCTTCGGGCTCTTGGCTTGGTGTGCGGGCCTTCTTGGCCATCGGTGCTGTGGATGATTCAGAGTTTTCCGTTTTGGTTGAGTGTGGAAGACGTCGCTTTATCAGAGTTAATAAGCGGCTGGCGTCAACTGAAGGATGACGAGAACGTCCGGATCGGCGAAAGGCCAATGCGGGACTTTGAGGATTGGGTTCCCAGGTTTCCACTGGAGACGAGTACTGATTCTGTTCGCCACCAAAGGTCTCCATGTCGTATAGGTTCGGGGCTCGCTTTGGTTGGTGGCAGCCTCGAGAAGGTTGTTGGGTCGTTCGCTCAGCTGCTTGCTGGGAAGTGCGTCTTTCCTGGACGCTGATGGCCATCTTGAGAGGCTCTCCGACGTCTAGTGAGGTTGAACGTTTCTGTGCGGATGTCCCTTGATGGAGTCAGACGACAGCGACGTGAGCGAAGACGGAGAGACAAACTTGAAAAGGATGAGGTGGAAGAGAGATACAGTGTGTTCGTATCGTATGAGGAGGCTGGTGAAGAAGAAAAGAGGGTACGAGGTGAGTTCTCCGCACTGGCTCTTATATGCTAGCAGAGCCCAGGTACCGGGGATGTTGGACAAAAGAACGCGGGCTTTGAGACAGGAGCGCTACCACAGACCGGGAGAAAAGAGAAATCAAGCTCAAGGTAAAAGGAAGGCGACATGCACCCTGACAAGCGATGGATGCCTACCGGCATATCAACAACGATAACGTGACAAGGGGTGGGGTAAGGTAGAAGAAAACTGTCAAGGGAAAAGACGCCAACATCGAACGGATACCGTATCCGACCACGACGAGCTTTCCACTTTAGAACCGTCCATCCATTGTAGCGACGGTATCGCAAGCCCACAAAGCCCTACAGCTCAAGTCCGAGATACCACCATGCAAGCATTCATGGGTTTCGTAAGGTGCTGATGCATCACCGCCGGCTAGGACCACACCGGCATGGATCTTCGGGAGGACCAACGGCGCCAGCAGAGACTGCAGACTGGCGCAGAGCACGCCCTACCAGTTGCGGTCCGATGCAACGCTGTTGTTGGCGGTGTATGTCCACCAGCATTTGTCTCTCTCTCTCTCGCTACACGCAGCGCTGGTCGATGTGGGCCAACGGGTGACCAGGTTCTTGAACTCTCCTGGAGTCTCGACAACTCGAGGGCGTCTGCCCGCTAGTCCCTGTCGTCGGCGACTGTCCAAAAAAAGGCTGCAAGTGGGGGCATCTTGGCGAACATGGTGCAGGGAAAAGAAACGATCGATCAATATCTAGACCCCAGTGGTAGGAGCCGCTAGTCCTAGAGGGGAGGGTGGAAGGGGGGACAGGAGGGGCGATGGATACCCTCCAAGGTCGACACAGACTCTGGTCCTCCTGCAAAGTCCAGATAACCCTCCCCCACCCTAGGGTATGAGTAGCCTGTTATTTATTTAAATTTCTCTTATATTAGTCTTAGTATACTACTTTATCCCTTAACTCTTATAGTTATCCTGCTTTTTTTATACGATCTAAATTATTAATAAAGCTTATAATAAACTAGCTTTATACTTAGTAAGTATTAGTTATTAAAGCTACTAAGTAAAGTTATAATCTCTACTCTTAGAACTAATATAAAATAAGTATTATTAGTATTATAATAAGAAATTAACTAAAATATTCTTATATATTTTAATACTTAAGTATTATAAACTAATTTTTTAATCATAGTTTAGTAGTATTAAGTTTATAAAGAATCCCTATAAATAGTATAAGTTATAGTTTTTAATAATAAAAATATACTTCTTAAAATAAACTTCTAAATAAATTAAAAAATTAATATTATATTTAAAATAAATAAGGAGTTTCTTAAGTATAGAATTTATATTATAAAGTAATAATCTATATATTTAATAAATAAAGAGAGTACTAACTATTTATTATATTACCACGTTTTTTATATAAAGTAAGGTTTTTATAACTTTAGTAGTTATAGTTATTATAAAGAAAAGTTATTTATATTTTATTAATTTTATTTTTATCTCTTTAGAGACCTCTATATCTTCTAATACTAAGTATAGTACTCCTATGTTTACTTATTAGGTTATATCTCTTAGGGTTACTTAGTCCTTTACTATATCTGTACCTTGCTGTATATTGTACCTCGGCAAAGTCCAGATATCCGGTAAAACATCCCGGGTTCTAGGTTCACAATGAAGTTGGTCTGCAAGTCGTGTCCCAGAAGTTACACAACGTAACACTGTCGCCGCCTCATATTCCGACTTCTCGGACCAATGGACCTCATCTATCCGTCCTCCTCCATCGGTCTGATATTTGAGGACGAAGCTGTCACTTTTTCAAGAAAATCGTTCGGGCACAACCTCTCGACAGCGTCTCTGGTCTCATGGACGGAGAGAGAGAAATGAGAAAAGATGCATGATTGGATAATGTGGACGACCATGAACACGACACAGCCTGTGCGTACGGGAACCAACAACCCCTGCCTCTGTCTTCTGGGCAGAACTGTGTATCCCAGCATCGTTCTCCACGCGATGGACAGATGGATTATGTATGCTGCTAGCCTTTAAACTACGCAAGATGGCCAAATGTGCATTGGTCTTTGTATGTCATCTGCAGCACCGTTGGCAAGGATTCATCAACCTTGCGTCTGAAGTCACCCTCTTGATCCCCGGTCACAGCTTGTCTCTCCCAATCGTAGACTGCGAGGTCGCAATGAATCCACGAAGGAGGCACGCACGAAGAAGAGAGAGCAGATCCATAAGGGCTATCAAAAAAATTGCTCAGGCGCTCGAATCGCCGGAGCGCGCCCAGCCTGCTAGTCGGAAGCAAACTGCAGGTCGCATACGCCGTACTGGTGAACGGGAAAAGGGAAATTACGTAGTATGTCCAATGTGACAAAATGTGTGATAGTAATTTAGTGTGCATGTCGACCCGTCCCGTCGGGTCCAATACCACCATCTCACACATTTCAAGGCTCGTTCAAGGTGCTCAACCTCTGTTGGTGCGGTCCTGTCGAGGCTGGCCTGGTCCATGATTGGCTCTCTCCTACCCTTGTCAATCTTGTTGGAGTTTCGATGACCACCGGACCGGGGTTGTGAGGTCCGAGAAACATCACCGGGCAGGGGTGTAAGCAAATTCATCAACGGTCCTTAGTGCCAACAATGACAATATCAGCGATTGATCTGAGCGCTGCCCTCAGTCTTGTGGGCCGCTCGACGCTCGGAAGACGTAGGCTTGCATCCGGGACTGGAGACGCCCTCGATCATGGACACGAAATGGAGAGCGCCGGAACCCCGCCTGTTATTCCCGGTCTCTAGCTCGGTTCTGAATGGGTACCAAGCCCACGGTCGTCGGAGGAGGAGATCGGCCCCGATGGCTCGCTGCGGTCCGTCCGTGGAGCGATCAGTTCCGTCTACGTTGTTGGAGCTTGAGATTTCCTCTTTTCATCTCTGCGCACCGGCCCCCGAGCAGCTGGGAATCCAATCTGAGGAAGCCAAAGGACGGTAATGTTCACCCTCCTGCTCCGCCTCTTGCTGCCCACCCCCTCCTCTTTTCCAAAATACCCCTGCTGGTACAGCACTTGGCGGGTACGTGACATCCACGACCCGGCCTGGCCTACATCCTAATAGCATGATCAGTCCCCTGCGGTCGGCCGCCCTGCAGTCCATGTTTGCTTCCCCTTCTGTCACCCAACGCGCGCGTCCTGCATCAGGTTGATATGGAGAATACTTGCGGTTGGTGGCGCAAAGACGTTGGCGCAGTTGCCGGGATAAGCGCGGTAACTTAGCCTTTAATTGGACACTGTACGAGTTACGAGGTCTAATTCGTTGCGTCTCTTGTAATCACGTCTCCTTGCTTCAAAAGACTACCATGAGAAACGTACCGTCGCCCCAGGGTGCCGGACGGACCTGTCCAACCCCGGGCCCCGGGACGTAAAGACGTAAATACCTGGCACGTTGACACACACTGGCACACTGGCAAGCTAGCAAGCTGGCACACCGGCTGACCAGGGTCCCCGCCATGGTGTGCGGGCTTGCAGGCATGTTCGGTGTTCGGGGCCAACGCGGCTCGATCTGGTCTCCGCCTCTAATTCCCTTGTGAACCAAGATGCACTAAGTTGTACGCCAGCAGTGTGAGGGGGACAAGAGGGCATCGGAGAGGAGAGAACAGTGGCGAAAGAGAACAACCGAAGCCAGCCGGCGCAGACTGACCGTAGTGGCCTTATCAGATGTAGGGTCTACGAGGAGAGCATGGCGACTTCAGCCCTCACCAGTCCGCGAGACGTCCGAAGTAAAGTCTTCTCAGGCTCGTTGCCACGTGGATAATGTGTCAGTTGTCAGTTGAGAAGGACGTGCACAGCAAACAATGGCCTTCCATTTCATGCCATCTCATCATTCATTCAGTTGATCGTTTCACAGCGTCGGGCATTACCTGATCAAGCCACAAGATGGTGACCAGTAATTCTCCGGTCGTCCACGTCTGATTGGTGTCGCCAACTTGTGGCGTACTTGGTCGCCGACTTCGACGGAGCTTCTTCTGGGCGCACACAGATAGATACATGCGATCCTGGGTAGGACAGAAATCGATCTATCCGAGGACTCGAGTCACACAAAATCAACGCTGGAGACGCATTCACGCTGTCGACGATTTCAGGCGAGCCGCTCATCGCGGCGCGGGAAAAGGGGGCGAGGGGGCCAAA